CTTTTGGTCATCCTGGGACCAGGACATGGTGCCTTCAGTCCCATCTGCCTGGGCTGGTCACCCTCCTGTTCATGCCATAGCATCCAGCCTACACTGGATGCAAAGTGACACACATCAGGGTTGCTCTGAGGCTCACCCTGCACTGCTCCAGCACCCTCTGCTCTTGATACCTCAGACCTTACAGAGCATGAAGCCCTGTCCTGTTAGGCCCCGTGCAGCTCTGGGGACCCTTTGCAGAGCCCCACACAAAATGCAGCTCAACCTCACTGCTCCCAGGGCTCATTGGCCCTGGTCCAGTCTCCTCCGAGTGAGCCTGAGGGTGGAAGTGACACATCTCAGAATGTGCTTGTTAGCACTGATTATTTTTGCAGCAACCGCACTGCAAACATGCAAAAGGGACAGTTGACTCTAACTGCCTCTGTTAGCCTCAGCCCTTCTCTGCTCTTAATACGCTACATACTAGAAGGTGGCTGTAAGGCAACAGCCCTCCCAGGCTGGGCAGTCCTTGGGTAACCATATTCCTTTGGGCTGGCAGATGTCATCATTGCCTGCCCGCCCGCCATCAATGCCTCTCCACCATTTGTTACCCAAATGACTCCCAGAAAAGGTCCCCAGGAAAGGACCTCCCCTGCCATCCTGTTGGAGAAGCTGAGAGAGACCATGCCTGTAGAGATGAGAACATCTCAGCAAGGTCAGACCACTGAGCCCTTAGCAGTACACAGGATACGTCCCCACCCCAAACTGGTGGTGGCTGACAGTGGTATCTGTGAACATGCCCAAGGGTTAGGCTAGACCCCACACAATCACAAGCTTTCCTGGTGCTGGCATTGGCTCCATGACACCCTGTCCTGACAGAGGAGACAGGGGATAGCAGACTCCTGGGTGCAGGCTGAGAGTTGCTCATGTTGGAGCAGAAGCATGTAGATGTGGAATGGCTTGGAACACGTGCACAAGGATTAATGGAGTCCTTGACTGTGGCCAGGTATTTCATGCCGTATTACACCTTCTTGATGACCTTCTACGCTGCTGGACCAACACCGCAAACATGAGCCACCAACACCATACTGAGAACCACACGTGGCACCAGTGCTTGGGTTGTCCTTTGCTGCCCACAGCTCTTCCTTTCTTCTGCCTGGCCTTTCCTGAGCAGGTACCACTGGAGCACATCACAGGCCCTGGAGGTGCCACGAACCCTGGGAAGGATCACATAGTTCTTGGGACAGTTTGGCCTTGCAGCATGGGCAACAGTGATGTGGTCCACATGTCTCAAAGGCCAACCCATAGAACCAAGTACACCAAGGCTGTCTCCCAGTAATGCACACAACAAACAATCCCTCCCGCATGTCCCCTGGTCTGTTCTTTTGCTGCAGGGTTGTATCAGCCGCAGCATATTTGGGGGTTTGAATGTATTTATGTATGTAGCTGCTTAGCAACATTTTCAGACATCTTGCTGGGATGGGATCTGGCAAACTGCCTCTGCGGTAGGCGCGTGCACGCGGTTCCTGCAACAGGAAGCGGTGGTTCCCGTGTTGCACGCCACAGCAACTCAGAACCCTGACTGGTAGTGGGGCTGGGGAGGCCTTTTAAAAACAACCTCCCCATGCAGAGTTGAACCTTAACTTATGATGCCCAGAGAGGGAAAGCAATAGTGGGTGGAATAAATGTCACACTCAGAGTTAGACTGCAAAGGTGCAATGACTCACAGGGGAAAAATGTCCCAAGTGACATTAGGGTCCCACTGTTCATCAGCCGCCCACTGCACACAGGGCACGGACGGTCCCAGCCTCTCTCGCTGCCCTACCTCCTTTGATGTTAGATGGGTCTTCCCACAGAGTGGGGTGAGCTGGCCCAGTCCCACCACTCAGCCAAGCATCATGGAACATCGCCTCCACCCGCAGCCCCAATGCATCATCATCACCCTCATTTTTCAGCTGCTCTTTGAGGCATATCAACACCCATATGTGCAACACAAGGAGAGTCATGACAAGAACTGCCCCCACTGTAGCCTGTCGTACCGAGGGCTTATCTAGAAACACTCAGAAATGCCAGCTGACCTCTACAGCCCTGCTGTTTCCAAGAACAGCACCTGTCCAGGAGGGCCAGGAGTAGAAAGGCACAATCTTATTCCAGCCTGGGCTGTCTACTTTCCTGAGAACTCAAAGTTGCAGCATAAACATCCATTAATATTCCTTCAACTGACTTTGGGTCCCAGCTGGGCGTCAAGTTGGCAGATTAGATGACCAGCATCCTAAAGGACAGCACATCTCATGAACAAAGTGGTGGGAGAGAGCCTGAAACTGACTCACTTCCCACTCAGATGCTTGCAACTGTGGTGCACATTGTACACCTCCCCAAGAAAGTCATGGGCAAAGAAGGGGAGTGTCACCACACAAGAGGCAAGCAGAATCTCTCCATGCTCTCCCCATGAATTCCTCCTGCTCATCACATATTCCAGAACCATGTCTGTGAAGGAGAAACTTCTTACAGGTAAACCTCATGAGTATCCTCATGACTGCCAAATCTTGCCATACCAGAGGGCTGCAAACCCATGCTCCCTGAGCTTGTGTTTCTGGGGTTATTGCAAGTGTCAGCAACCAAGAAAACATGCCCCAGGGCACATCCTTCATCAAGTCAAGTCCCTAGAGCAACATCTGTACATGGTATCTCCCATAGACACCCTAGCCTTTCCATCAGCAATAAAACCATGTTAATCTGCCTGTATGGCAAAGGGTCTAGCTGGCCTTTTGTTTCTTTCAATAAAGAAATACTTCCTGCAATGTATTTTTAGGGTAAAGCAGGTGGCTTTCAAGAAGAGAATCAGGCCTACACGTGTTTCTTCCAAAACTGGGGACTCTGAGTCTGATGCACAGACAAGCCATGGTGTAAAACAGCACAGTAGCCAAACTAGCCTGACATCGCATCAGGCCTCCCAGTGCACGCCCTGAGATGTTGCAGGTTACCCCATCTCCCCACAGCCACCCTGGGTGCGCTGCAGAGGTTCAGCCTGGGAGAAGGCCCTGGAGAGCACACCCCAACATGACCTATATATATTGCCCTTACAAAGCTGTAGACACCAGGAGCCTTCCTCAGGCACTCCAGTCCACCCTGAGGAATAGGGCACTAGGCACCTTCTTGGGAGCCACTAGCTGGTGTGGGACCTGTCCCCATTGGCATGACCAAGGAGGAAAGAGGGGAATCACAAATGCACCTAAAGTGTTGCAGTGTTCACAGAATCCACAGGCATATTCCCCCTGGAGTTGGGTAGAGGCATTCTTGGCCACCTGAAGAAACAAGGGGCCTTGTGCTTTGTCTCTTCTAGCAGCTGGTAAGGAAGACTGGGCTTGGCTCCAGGCAACATCCACCCCATGTGCCCCACACCCTGGCTGGCTTACCCATGCTGTCCCCAGGCCAGGACTCACACAAAGGGGCATCTGAGCTTCTGCCACAGCCACTTACCCACCCTGTTCCCTCCCTGGAGCTGCTGATGAGCACTCCAGCAGTTCAGCTCTAGCCTCCCTCTCCCCTGCTTTCCCAGCAGGGTCAGCACCGAGGGCTGACACTGGGCTCTGGTCCTTCCCTCTGCCACATTCCTTTTATCCTCTCCTCTTCAGGTGGAGGAAGGCTGCTTAATGAAGTCTTCTATAGCCCTTCCCCAGAAGATCTCACCTCACCCTGTATGGCAGCCACCAGAGATGATGCAGAACTCAGCCTTGCAGCCACCCTGGGCAACACAGGCATCCCTTCCCACTACGCTCCTCCTCCTCACACCAGTATTGCTGCCACCCCTGTGCCTGCCCCACTTCAAGCAGTTCAGGAGAGGAAACGGATGCATGGGAACAAGCTAGACAAAACAGACAGACTAGTGCAGAGGCTTAAACTTCTATTCATAAAATATACACCATCTATACACAGTACAATGTCATTTTTACAGTATTTACAGCAACAGTGAGGTCAGAGGCACATGGCATCCAGGAAAGGTCCTTATCTGAGGATATCCAGGCAGAGCAAAGGTCCAGATAAACACCACCATTAGAATAGGCTCTTCTGAAGCTGAAGGAGACATCAAGGTGCTAGTAGAGTACTGCAAACACTTCCTGGTTCTTCCTCAGGTATCAGAGGCAGAAACCTCTCAAGTCCATGGAGCCACAGCAGTTGACGAGCCCACTTGTAAGGCAAAGCTTTGCACCCTCACCAAGAGCTATTCAGATCTCAGGGCTGGCCAAGTCCTGCTCTGCCCATGGAAGAGAGGCTTATGTGAGCTTCAGCAGAGCCATCTGTACCATTGCCAGTGATCACCAGCCAGCAAACACCAGCAGATCTCCTGGTGAGCACAGAGCTGCTCTGCAGCTGTAGAGCACCCTCAGCCCCCCATTGCTCCTGCTGGTAGCCTACCAAGGCAGACACCAGGACCTTGGGGTCCTACTCCTGCTCCTTTGGGCTCTGGCATCCTATCTGTCTGGGAGCTACAAACTCCACAGCAGAGGGGTACCTACAAAGCACTGGGAGCCGTCCTAGAAGCCAGCTGGAGCAGTGAAACAGGACATCCAGCTCGGTCTCAGTTTACCACATAGCACTTGTGGTTCAACTTAGGCTCAGCAAGACACCCACCACCGCACATACCATCTTCCTCTTGAAGGTGATACACTCTGGCTGGCGGTGAGACAAGCTCAGACCACAGTAAGTTGCCACAGATCAAAGTCCAACACTGTCAAAAGACTGGTGCAAACAGGTACTCCAGAAACTCAGACACAACATCCCCATTCTCTTGGTGCCAATCAGAGAGGCAACTGAAAAAGCAAGTTGGAAAGAACTGGTCAGCTCAGATGATCAGTCCACATTTGTGCTTTGTGGCTATGCCAGAAGATGGTGGTTGGCACTAGGCAGGCTCTTGCCCAGTGCAGTTAGGACCATGTAGCATGGAAGTGCTGCTCCTTGCACAGGCAGAGGGAGGACAGAGGCGCAGAAACAGAAGGGACATCAGGGAGGCTCTAGAATCAAGAGCTGCAAATACTCCTCTCCAAACTCTCCACCAAAGCCACAGCTCACATCTCTGCAGGACAAGGAAGGAGATAAACACAGTGAGACCATTGCAGAGTGGCAAGAGGCTGCACAGCACAGTGAAAAACCCCACCCAACATGACTAGCAGTGAGTGTGGGAAGAGAGCCTGGGTCGGGTGTCTGTCTGTCCCAGACTCTTGCTTGTAGTGTCTCCCAGTATGATTCAGCCCACAGATAAAGCATTTCCCCACCAGCCAACTCATTTTGGACACTCAACAGGGAAGGGGAAAAAAAGATACTGAGTCAACTCATTGTGACATACACAGCCTATGTGGGATGAAGGGAAAGGAAGATCTCACTGCCTCCCATTTCCCATCCAGTGCCCCTTCAGAGTGGGACTGTAGCCACCATGCCTCAGTTTCCAGCTGTGAAGATGCAGGGACTATGCAACCTCACAAAGCTGCAGACATTTACACTGTTATGGCCAGGCTGGGCTTCACAACCCAGATCAGCTCCAGCACAGCAGTACTGACACCTTCCCCTACCCCACAAACTGGTGCAACAAAGGTACGAGGAAAGGAAGATGCTCAAACAGTAAATCTTCCTCCCCCAACAAGAGCTTGATGGCATGCATGACAATTGGATAATGCCTAGAACTGGAGGCATTTACTAAGGCACCAGGATTCCACCCCTGCTGCAAAAACAGGGTCTAACCCATCTGAATGAGAATCCCAGCTATGAACAGTGTTGGGAAAGGCTCCTGTGAGCCAGATGAAGCAGAAAAGGCCCAGCTCAGGGGTTGTGCTGTGCTGGATGCAGTCTGCCAGCATGAGTTCCTGGCATGGAGAAGAGCAGAATCTGACCAAAGATGGACTCGAGAGGCACCAGAGAGAGGGGGTGATTCATGCCCTGACTCAACACCAGTGCCACAGCACAGTCACCTCTGGAGAAGTTACACTGACATGATGAAGGCTGGTTCATGCCTGTACCAAGGTGTCATGATCAGGGCTGTATACATACCTTCTAGCACTTTGTCAAGATCTGCAATGAACTCTTCAAGCTCCTGTGTGTCTCCAAGCTTAGCTAGCGAACAGAAAGACACCCTGTCAGACCTCCCATTGCCCTCCTGCTTCAGTTTGGGTTAAAAAGGGTGCCTGGCCCTTGTTTCTGATGAAAATTGCTCAAACTACCTCCTGCCTTTAAGTCATGCGCGCATTTCTGCACGTGGGATGGATGTTATGTAAGAACTGCATGTGCAACTGACTGACTGCCGCACAGCTCTACAATAACCCTAGCCAAATGCCTGGGAGCATAGTGCCTCCATGGGTCAATGCATCTTTCCATGGAATTACAGCCCATATTTGTATGAGGATACTGAAGGCACTGCTGATATGCAACACAATCTTTCAAAGCGCTTGTTCAACACTGCCAGGTTCAGGACATCACCACCCCCACTAGTGCTAAACTTCTTCAGAAGGAGCTTCACCTCCATCCCCACAAACCCTTTAGCTCCCAACTCCAAAGGCTGAACATTCCCAGAAGGTGTCATCTAAAGCAGCACCTTGAAAACAGTGAAAGGCAATTGAGGCTGAATATCAGGGAAAACAGGGAGGACCACAGCCTCCCACTCACATGAGATAAGGTAGCAAAGTGAGAGATGGATCAGGGCACAGTGAAAAGAAAACTAGAGGTTAAGGTTCCTGCATTGCCTGATCTCTGCAAGATGCTGCCCTGCATGAGATCCTGGGACAGTCTAGAGCTCACAAGTAATGTGCCAGTCCAGTTTCATATCTGCTGCAGGATCCAGCCAAGGCCTCAGATCTCCTTACCACCCCAATGTGGAAAGCACCCCAGGCATACATACAGCCAGGAAGAGGTGAGCTCAGGTGCTAGATATGGGACTTCCCTTATTGCTTTAGGCACCCCTCACACCAAGCACACCCCCGTCCCCCAAGGAAACTCTGGCAAACAGCCTTTCAACCTTACCTTTAGAGGGGTAAGTGTTGGCAGGAGCATTGAGATCCTCCTCACTGGAGTTTAGACTGCTTCCTGGGGAGGTGCTAGTACCTGTGGATGCATAGCATCAGTCACTCTCCAAGGTCACAAGTTGCAAGACCAGGGACCCAACTTACACATGGAAGAGGATCCCCAGTTCACCCACACTCTTCATCATCCCATTCGCCCTCTTGCTAAAGAAAGAGGAACTGTGCTTTTCTGACAGACCTCAGAGCATCAGAAGTTCCCTGAGAAGAGACATGGGGAATCATTGGGGTTATTACAGAGAATGGGGAAGATGAGGGGAAAAAAAAAATTCTCAAGCCTGGTGCAGTCATGAGCAGCCAGCCCAGAAAGTGTTAGCAGACACTGCCAGGCACTGTCCATCAAAACTAGAACAAATGGCCATTGCAACCCTCCCAGACACGGCCAAGTGTTACTCATACAGCCCTCAAGAGATGAGTGAGAGACTGCATCAGCAGTAAGTTCAGTGGTTTACCATAGAAGAACCCCAGTGCTCTCAAAGCCATTCCATCCTGACAGCAATACTATCCTCCTCCATGTCTCCTTGTTGTTCAACCCGGACTCACTCTGCAGCTCATCAATGCCGCTGTCATACACACTGTGGCCTGCTTTCCTCTTCAGGTCCTCCAAATGCTGTTCATACTGACACACGGGACCCTTGTCAAAGTCCTCAATCACCTCATCGAACTCCCTCAACAGGTCACTTAAGTCGTCAGGCAGTGCTGTGGGACAAGAAAAGACTCAGGTGTTTCAGACAGGCAGTGGGCAAACAACCCCAGGCAAATCCTACTGAGCAGGAGACATCCCAGTAAGAGCTAATCCCAGGTTGGCAGCCAGCAGCTCCTGACTACTAAAGTTCCTCATTCCCCACCGCACTTTCAGCCAGATGAATGGGCCAAGGCCAGAAAAACAAGCCAAAGAGCCTTGTCCTCAGGAAGCTCCTGTCCTTCTGGTGCAAGGAACCTGGTTCCAGGCCAGTACCTTATAGGCAACACCTTTGGTCCTAGACTCAGCTTCTTCCTGTACTTTCAAGCAAGGCTACAGCATAGCTGAACAAGGGCCCTAACATATTTTGAGCACAACTCATTAGCTTAGATGCACCATACACTTGTCATGAGGCAGCAGAACCATGTAAAGACCGATTGAAGTCTGGTGGCTGCTCTACAGGGATGTCACAAGAACTTCCCCAAGGCAGACAGCATTTACTCCATCCCAACCTGAAGACAGGGAGTCTCCAGCAAGCACAAGGATAGCCCACCTCACCAGACCCTCTTGGCTAGATTGGCTTGACTGGAAGAGCCAGAGAGACAGCACTTGCTCCGCCAACCCACCTTGGGGCTCTGTCCCACAAAGCAGCCTGGTCCTGAGAAGGGGAGGTGGGGACAGTGTCACTGCAGAGAGCTGGGGACAGCACTGCCTTCAAAGGAGAGCCAGGCAAGGATTCGCCATCATTTGAGGGCACTTTTGAAAGGTTGCTCATGGGTAGGGGCCACCACGAGCCTGTACTGAGCCCTAGCATGCTGGACAGCATGAGCCGACGGCTCTGCAATTTTCAAACCACATCCTTTTCCTGGAGCGAACTACAGCTGCAGCTGCACCTTCCACGATAGCAATCATTGCAAGCAATTAATATATTATAATAATAATAAAGATGCAGGTACCCCCCCCCCCCCCCCCAAGGCGGG